CCACGTTTGCAGATAAAATAGTCTTTCCGAAAGAAAACCATTCAAGGGGAAATGGCCCAGCTGGATGGGATGGTGAACAGTGGGAGAAGGTTTCCTGTAAACCGTGCGGTCAAAGAAAAATGGACACACCTCCAACGACTTATTGAAGCCAACGTATGATTATTGTAACCTTATTTCATAACGCTTTCTTTGTAAAAGATGCCCTCGTATTAAGACCGACTTTGTTACCAACGGACAACGTCACCATGGTGAGGTTTTGAAAGCTCCGTCAGGAGGCTGCAAACTGCGATTACACCAGAGTCTAAACTTGTGCGCCTTGTGATTGCAACTATTCTCACTCCACTGTACGCATTTTGTTTTCGGACTGCATAGAAACTACCGGGTTGATACTATTATATTAAATGGCTTGCAGATAATGGCGTTGATATGCACGGCGAGGCGTATAGTTCAAGCTTCTCCAGAGTTGAAATCATGGTTGAAAAATTTGAGCTGCCCACTTCCTCAGAGTTCAGCTAGAATTGTGTTTGTGGGGATTTGGGGGGTTCTCTCAAAAGGCATGCACATGGAAACGGAGTAGTGCATTAATTCGGGGCGGTCTCACTTGGGCGACTGTTGCATGTCTCCGCAGTAGAGTACCCCGTTCTTAGCTTAACCGTTAACCGCAGTTGACAAGCAGCCAATTCAAGTGAGGATTATTCAGCTTCCTCTGGCCAAAAAGAAGTCCAAAACAGTGCTTTATCGGTGTTCAATCTACGGAATTCATGAGGCTTGTCTTTTCGACAGTGCAACCTCCAGTGGACAAGTTCCTGTTCTAAAGTGGGGGAAAGAGTGAGGTGCGAAGGCTTTCCAATGCTTTCCCTATTTCCGCTTCTATACCAAGTGACTAGCCCACGAAAATTTAGGTAAGACAGATGCATGCTTCAAAAGCAAATTGCTTCAAGGTACGTTTACCCGAAGCTCTTTACTAGCATGCGGAAAACATCTCTGTGAAATATCGATGAGTCATGGAGGCGATGAGGGCCCGAATGACGACTACTACATGGGCACGATACCAAACCCTGTAGTAAACTTGATCATGCTACTCTTTACCGAGACGCTTCGTGAGGTGGCCCTCTCACTAAAGCGAAATTTCGGGTAGTAGCCAGTTCATGACAAGGGTAACAGCAAAATCACTGAATTAGTTCAAAAATTAGCTACCTCAGGAAAGAAGAGGGCTTCGTTATGTAACAATACTGGCACAGGTCCCTGCAAATATTGAGATTTAAGGCAAAGACACGGAAACCAATAGGTGAACCAGTAAATGGGTTAAACATCATTTTTCCTAGCTAAGCGACGACAACACCATACAAGTACTCAGGTTGAAAATCGGCAGTCATTATCCCTTAGTTGCGGCCCATCGCAAACATCACGTGATTAGATTACGTGCTGCGCCGGAAACCCGGTGCAATCTCAGGACAATATAATCACCGGAAGTATTTAGTTCCAGCCCGTTTCGGGAATTTTTGGGTACAAAACTGAGCCATATACACCAGAGATGACACCGGAAACGCTCACCGTGGTCCAACTGAGACCCGATCAAACGATAAATACAGCAGAAATAGTAACCAAATTAAAGTTTTTTGGCCGCAAAAGGCGCTTGAAAAAGCAGAAACGGTTGAAATTGGTTTGCCTAAACCATTGCTGTTGTCCAAATAGACACAGTGATGAGCAATGAGCCCTCTCCGATGAAAACTCAAAGTCATCTTGTGGTCGGTAACCTCTGTGTGAGGTCGCATCTATTATCCCTCCAGCCTTGTAAACCACATGAAAGATGAGTTTTTATCAAAAGCACTGCCTATAACCAATGTTCTGTAGTATCGAAAAATTATCACGAAGGACCAAAACTCTTCCATACAAAAAACTCCGGTCTTCCAAACAGAGAGACAACGCTTCAGTTGAGCCACACTGGCCGGATGTTTCATTAATCCGTAGTAAATATACAGTAGAACACGGTAATCCCCTCGAAAAGTCACTAAGGAACTGAAATTTTTAGTGTCCCCCGGAGTAAATCCTTTATTTGAAGATGAAACTCTAGGTTGCGGTTAAGAGAGAATACCATTCTATCAAGCATATGGGTGCCTATCCTGCCTCTAGTCCCATGAAACAAAACGCATCCTACGAAACCGAATGGATAGATCTGTTTATCCAAATGAAAATACATGCAGCCAGGGGGTGAGTATTCCCACCTTTGTCAGTCAGTTACAGCGAAGATATCAGAAAGGAAACTTCGTTCAGAATACTCACCACGAGTAATGCGAGATTTTCAGTTGAAACAATGGATTCTTGGGCGCCAAACTAAATGGTTTATCAAGGCTTGTCCCATCTTGGGAATCAGACTGAGAAAAAAAATTAGCCGAAACCTGTCTATGCTGTAGCACTATATTCTGTATCCGTGTGAACGTCCCGCCAGCACTCCATTGCGGGCATAGACGGACTCCGCTAGCAGACTACCTAATCTGCTTCAAAGATGGACGATGTTCGCTTCGGTACAAAGTACTTTATTGATTATGTCGTTTGTGTTGGTGAAGCACTGTTCGTGATGAACCTGGAAATCCTAGCGAACACTTCAACCAAGTTGAACCTGTTATTTAGTTCAACCCAGTAACGTTGCTTGTGATTTTCGGATGGGTGCAGTCCACTTAACCGCCAGTATCATGATTTCAACAATCCACATATGATGGAGCACAGCCTAAGCTCCAGATTATCAGTATGCACATGTTTCTTATTCGATAAAGCCAATCTCACGAAGACCATTTTTATCGGCCTTATGTGTTCGCTAGTGAGGGGATTTAGTGTGCCGAGCACAAAACGTCTGCGGAATGAAGTCTACTTAGCCAGAGGAGACCATGTTTCATTAATTTTTATTACCAGAAAAGGTCTTGGTTGGCTTAATCCACGATTACTTTTAAATTTTGAGCGGATGTTTGCCATTTGAACACACGGAACCCAGGTCTGTGTGATAATCAGACAGCAAGTTAAGTACCACAAAAGTAAGCGAAGCAATGCTGCACTGCAATTATAACCAAGGTATCAGTAGGGCGTTTTCACGAGCAGGCCTCCAGCTTAAGTCTACTTGAGGCTATTAACACTTTGGGGTTAAAATCAGCTCTTTCCACACTTTCCGACCCTCGTTGCAAGACGATTAAACTTTGCGGAAGAACGTTTGGCATACTCAAATGCAGCCAATGCTTCTGGGCATATAATTTGTCTCGAATTGGGGAAACCATCTGGTCCCACCATAAGTGAGACGACAATCGGGTACAGATACGGTACACCGCGCGGAGCAGTGTGAGTCGTTAGTAACCATACCGTGATATCCAGTTGTGTCAGAACCTTATCGAAAAGCACTCCTCTTCTCAGAAGGCGCTTTCGAAGGATTTCAAAACGCCTACCTTACACAGATGACTTCGCGTGAGAGGTTTATGACGTAGAACAGAACCGCGCCCATTCTACACTGAAATAACGATATTTTACTTGTATCCGAGCAGTTGGAATAGCAATCGTGACGGTTGGTAAAACTTTGCATTCTGTCCGAGGCGGACGCTGCACACGTTGTACTCCACTGACTAGCATATGCTGGCGCAACATGTTGGATTTGTATCCAGCTACACGCAGACCAGAACCGCCAAACGAGATAATTTATCATTCGTATTTAACAGCCGGAAGAAACGTTACTAGGCGCTAACCATTTAGATTTATTTGTTCCAACCAATAGTAAAACTGCAATATGACCTAATGAATGGTGCAGTGCGTGTATCGATAAGTTGTCGACCGAGGTAAGCTTAAGTATATGTATCAGGATAATGTGTTACGAAACAAACTATTTAAAGGGACCGTCCAATAACAAATCTACGTCAATGACATATGGAGAATATATACTTAGTAGAGGAGGAATTACCTCCTATTGTTTCGTGGGACTGGTTCCTCCAAATGTGACATGGCAGTGGACAAACATCATCCGTCTCCAAAATCGTCTCATCAAATGGGTGTGGAAGAAAAACACCTCGAGTTTGCTGGTGTTTCGGTAAAGCCAGAGCAGTTCGAACCCCGAAATACGGAGACGCGCACTGAAAAGCCTGGGTAAACTAGTAGGCTCGTACTTAGATTAACCGAGTCTTATACTCCACCAAACTTTGCTGCTGGCTCCGTTCTGGTGTGTTTTAAACCGGTGGTTTCATCAAGCGCACTTTGTTATCCACTTGAATGCGGCGTTGCACAGTACCATAAATCAGTGAGCGGGTGTCATGCTTGACCATATAGTTACAACGCCATCCAAGCATCAACACCTACGGAATACACCAGAATCACTGGTATTATCAGCCACAAAGACAAATACCGATAGTGTGGCATCAACCAAGTGTTCGACCTCAACTTGGTCTATGTAGTCTGTCCAGACGGCGTGATAATATCGAGTCTAGGACAAATAATGTCATCAACGAACGAATCAATGACGATTTACGCTGTAGCGGATAGAAATCACATCAACCAGTACCACAAATCAGGAGAGTTCCCATTGCGGATAGTTTTCGTAGCGTGGGATTCTCCATTTCTTTGAGATCAAGCTCCTGCTACCTACTAGGGGGACATACTGGCGATATATCTGGCTTTCGCCCAGTGTTATCAGTTAACAATAACGAAAAAGGCCACCAAAAGCCGCCATATTGTGCTGCGACATCGGGCTCTGCTTAGGTTGACTTGATAGATAGTTCGGATGGTAGCCTGCCGGAAAAATGTTGCAGGTTCAGCATGGATTGAATTAGTAAGTGGGATAAAATAGGTGATGACAACTATATATTTGTTGAATTCCCGAAAATCACTTGTGATCTTAAGTCAAACTCTATTCCTATAAGTATCATGGGAGCATCATATTAACGGACAATACGAAGTCAAACCCAAAGACCCACAGGTGAACAGAAGAGTGCTCGATTGACAAATATGTACATATAGATACAAACAAGCTATCACTCATATATATCATCTAACTCATCGAATTCGTATATATGCTTTCTGTTCTTTTTTCGTTGCTCTGATTCAACTCTAAATTGAGTCCGGGCAGCATATTTGTCCTTTTGATGCCGCAACAGATTGTGCCTCACCTGGAATGTACGAGGATAGTTGAGAACGCAAGATTAGAAGGCGGAACGGAAGAGGCCATGAAACTAGGTGATACCTAGGCGCATTTCACTATATTTTGGACGAATTAGCTCCAGAAATATAGTATTCAACTGCATAATGAGAACAATGCAGCTGAGGCATTCGTCCTCGAAAATAAACCTGCCAAGTCATTAAAATACAAATAAATCTGCTGCATAGATCGTACTGCATGACGATTGGGATTCTACCATGTTGTCCAAGCCTAGACAAGAGAATTCGAGATGCAGAGACCGTATTTGAACCACGGACTTTTTGGTAAATTCGCGCTCTAACCACTGAGCCATCTTGCCTTCCGGGTACTGTACACAAGCGACCACAGTTTGATTTCGAATATGCTGTTCCAGGAGAAACTAAATAGACCACTTTTTCTTATTCTGGAAACATGACTTTATTGGATACATCTGGTGAATTCAAGTTATTAAACTAAAGAATATACGACTTGAATCGACAATACACTTGCAAACTTCTCTTCATGGCACCAACTGCATGAGGTCGACGATGGAACGACTGCCGCAACGTGCAGAGTTAGTAAGCCTAGCTCAGAAAACAAAGGTGTCGTCACGAACTCTTCGATAGGAAGAGGTCGGGTTCGAAGCACGAACCTTCCGGTCAGTGAATTCGCACTCTAACCACTGACCCATTTCGCACATACATAACTTGTTGTATGGATTGCAACGCTACCCATGTGGAAGTGACGGACAGGCAACTGAAAGTGTGCGTTGCGGAACAAAGAAAAATGTGCACGATTTCCGCCACGACATCCCTTGAAATTCGAGGAACTTCTGAAAGACTCAACCGCTGCTGTGCACGTATTGATGGAAAACTGCGATGTATTACTTGACACAACCCACTCGCGTCAATCTACGTGAGCTGTGCGGCCAGGGTTTATAAACATCAACGAACTGCGTAACAAGTTGGGCTAAGGTTCAAACTAAACAAAGATGTCTGTCACACCTTCACCAGTGGGAATCCTGCAGGATGACTGCACACGGGAACATAAGAGTCAGATCCTATTTCTGTTGTCATTTATGATCCGGATTATTTCGCTTCTGACGGAGGTCACCCACTGCAATCAGAACAATACTTAACTCGAATGAGTGAAACACAGCGCCCAAACTATTCAACCTCATTTGTACTGAATAGGGTAAGGATATTCTGAGGCACACTACTGCTCACTTACTGCTGACGATTTCTCTGGTTGCTTGACACGGAAAGTCACAAAAATCATGCGACAAGAGAAATTAGGAGAATAAACTAATTGAACTCTCCCAGCCTTCGCTGCAGGGGTCTCAAAGTGTAGGGACGACTGTTGCACATTGTAGCGGGGTGACTTTCAACATTCGACGACACAGTTAACTTCGTGTCTGATAAAATCAACATAGAAGACAGGTTGGTAGTTCTGATAAAGCCATTTTACACACCAATACCTTAAACGGACAAGATATTGGACCACAAGAATGTTATTGGCTTTGTTTCCGTCAAAATAATGGAAACCCATTGGCACGTTGTCGGAATTCAGAGTTGTTGCAGTTCTAAAATATAAGGTCGTCTACAGAAGGAAAGGCTGACGAAAGCCATGGTGTTACTGTGAAAAACATTAGGTGAACTCAAAGTGGAATCCAAGTAATATTGACTAACTCCCCAAAGATTCAAGGTTTTCTACTCCATATGAGGTGAATAAAAATTCAAGCGAACATAATTAGCTTTTCGGACATAAATGCATAACGTCACTCCGTTTGGGTTCAGAAAGATTTCTTGGAAAGAAAAGGTCGGCAGATAATCTGGAAAGCGCGGGGGCTTCTATGACCTAGATGCCAACGTAAAGGATTTTGCTGACAAAATACAGTGGTCCCCTAAGACGACCGAAAGGAGAAGGTCTAATTCCATACCAAGTTTGGGCTGTCGAGGAGGGTTGCCACGGTCCACAAAGGGGACCGCTCGCTTCGGAAAGGTTTCTAACTATTTAAAGTAAATACGAGTGATGACATCCGATTGTTCTCAACGCTTAAGCACCAAATCATGAAACTTGCAAAGGAGCATCAAGAACAAGGATCGTATTGAGCGGAATGTCATTTAACAAGATGTTCTGTTGCATGTTCGTTTGGTAATGGTAGTTGATGAATAAGCTCGAAATCTGTAAATGCCCTCAGGGAGGCATGAGGATTCTAAATAGATTACATTTCGAAGCACAGGGAAGGGGCGCTGTTTATACACTTTCTCCTTTAATTCAAACTACTTACCGCCTACTAGTAGTCGACCGAGTTGGGCTCTGCCTCGGCTGAGCACACCGCCAAACCTACATCTCGTAACAACTTCATAGGCTATGTAATACACTACTCATAATGTTTCTGAGAACTCCTCGACAGCCCACGACCGGTTTCGCCCTTCTTGGGGCTCATCAGGTAGGCGCAGTCCCCGGATTTCCGTCAACTTTATGTTCAACTTGAAACCGAAATGCACGAAATTAGCGAATATACACTCATTTGCAAACTAATTTGGCTTTTTCTAGAAACTCACCTGGAACCCAGCTGAATCTCTCGGTTTTGATGTTTCCAGGCAACTGAATGTACTGCACCAGGCCGCCTCATGTTTCAGTCGCCACGACACTCGAGATATCGCGATACATATATATCTTTGTAATGCACTGCTCATAAGGTTGCTACTTAACACGGTGTACGGTGTCATCCATAAGAAATGAGTTTAGTAGGAATTTTACTAAGAACCTCGTGTATATAATGCAACAACTGCTATAGAGCAGGTTACGTCGTTAGTCACAACCTCCTCTTCTACTCCCACCTGCCAAGTGGCCTCTGCTGAAGGAGCCGGCTTTTTGTGGCTGTTTTCACCAAAGCGAATGGTTGGGAGCAGATTTCGGGCGCCATAATCTGGATGGTGGTTCACCGGAACCCAGCTGCTACATACTACGTATAGACAGATGCCACATTTTCAAGATCTACCGAATTCCCTTCAATTTACGTCAGTGCCCACCGACGTTACACGTCGCCCATGACGACTGTCAGTGCATCAGACAGCGGCAGGGCGAATCAGATATGAAGTTAAAGTGCAAAAGTGTAAAGTGGAGCAAGCGGCTCCGGCAACTCAGTTGGGGGAGCACCCGTCCGGCTAGTTGGAGTTCAGTGATTGCGTCCGATGAGTCTTTACCTTCATGCTATGTTTTGCCTTCGTGATTGAAAGATGTGCAATGTTTGATTCTTATAAATTGTCAAAGTCTTTCATGGCTATTACGCTGAAAATAATTTTGACTTAAGCTGGACAGTTTGAGACCAATCTGACAGTCGGTACTGACGTACATTATGAAGTCACGGGAGACCGTTGCATGTAACTGCAATAGCATAAGGAGCACGGAGGTCACTCAAATTTTTTTTTCGTTTGAGTAGAAGCAGACAATAAGCGTAGCAATCAGCCAATTAGCTGAGCTGGTTGTCGCAGTGGAGGAGTTCCTTCGATTCAGGTAGTGTGCATGCGAGAAGAGAATTACTACACCTTTATGTCAGCTAAGGCGATCAAGCGCATCACTTTAGAGATTTGTGGACGTTACGTACAGAAGACGGATGAATGCATGCACTATTCGTCAGTTGTGAGTAGGATAAAAAGGAGTCGGGTATTCAGTAAAGAACCATGAGAGACTACTGTACGCGTCCAAACGGACACAAAATCAATCAGGACGGCCGATAACCCCCACACATCTGTGGATTACTTTTTAGTCATTAACTAGAGGTTCAATGAGTCAATACAATATACCAAACTATTGGTGGTTCACGTTTATCAACTAGCTGTGGGTCAGGTGTATTGTGGAATTCGAAAATGACATCGAAAATGATTCCTCACTAATCGTAGGATGATTATCAATGTGCGATGACGATATCCCGACGATTGGTAACGAAATGTTTTCAACGAAGCTGCCTAGCTCGGAGAAAAGAATAAGTCACCCTATCTACAACCAGAGGTAAAACACAACACTGAAGCTTGTTTGAGGGATTTACTAAGTTGGCACCAGCTCAGCCAGAAGAAACTATACTGCAGCTGGTCCGCTCAGCACTTATGCATGTTAGCTGACCTGATAGGTAGTTTGTTTCAAGAGATGCAACGACATTTGCACTATGGATAACAGTGACCCTGCCCACCATATTTGAGGTAAGCTGTACGTCTTTTGGCTCGGTCAAGCGGTAGAATCGGAAAAATCATTAAGTTCGCATGGTTTTCTGAGCCTCGATATCAACTTCCTTCCAATTAGATATCACGGCAGTCAAAAGGCCAAAGGTCAAGTAGGTTGAGTTTAGGAAATACGAAATTATCAAAACCCCAGTTTTGTGCCTCAGCACATTACTTCCTCGCTGAATAAAACGGGGATAAAATCCTAAGGGGAAAACGGCACTGAGAACAATGCAACAAAGGGTTATGTTAAATGTACATAAAACCCAACAGTAGGATTAGCGAAGCCCTCAACAACATAAGAAGGTACCACAAAAATACAGGAAACTCACCCAATTAGGAGAAATGTAATTGGGATTTGAGAAGAGTACTGCACCACAGAAACTGCCCGCAAATATTCGGATCAGGCTCAGGGAGAATCTTGGACCTATGATAGACATGTACAGAGGTATAACATATCACACTTACTGAAGCCAAACATAATAGAATAATCAGAGGAAACAACAGAAAAGTACTAGGGCGTGAGCTGGGAGAAATGTAACTGGAAAATGAATACAGCCATAACGAATGAAGACAATTTATCATCAATATTGTCCTATCATCTTAGGCTATACCTGTGGGGATATATCCTCGTGACACATTTGGAATAAACAGCCAGGAACCGAAAGGAAATCACGTTGAGGAAAATAACTGGTTTTAAGGATAAGTACATTTTAGGATGACAACGCGGTCTTTTGTGTGACAACAAACATGCTGGCCTCGAGCTCGTAATTATGAGAATAGCAAGTCATCCAGCAACGCAGTCGAATTCGCAAGCATGCATGTTACGATAAACTATTATGTTCTAAGCTGGGAGGTCATCGAGGTTTGGAGAAATGTTATATCTTGATGGCTTGCGCACCACCACTTGAGGGTAGTGAACTAAACCATACTGATAGTGCTGAGGAAAAGTTTGCGTACCTCCGAGGTACCACAAAGGAAAATTTTATTCATAAGAAAGATCCCAAATTGGTGAAAATGGAATGAACAACTAACAACAATAACAGCTGCGACGCTGTCTGGAAAAGGAATCGACCTCGGTCATTCAGAGCAGCAAACAACAGTCGTCTGGAAACCGGTGCGTTTGCAATAACGACAACGTTCACTTCTTGTAGCGAAACTATGGATGAATGAGTGTCTGAGAGATTCCCATTGACTACTCAACAGCACGGGAAACAGCCGTGCCCTTTATCAACTGATACGATCGACTGGCCCTAGGAAAGCAACGGTCAGCGAAACGATGAGTGAAAAAGATGGCTCACTAATTCATTCGCAACAACGTCGACTGGAGAGATGGGCCGAATACTTCGAAGAGCAGTCCAGCTGGCCTCCTGCAACACAGCCTGTGGAGATAGTGCATACGGGCGAATGGAATGTAAACCTTGATCGCCCTTCGGAAGAAGAAATAAGGTACGAAGTAGCCGCACTAAAACGTGAGAAGGCACCAGGACCGGACGGTCTGTATCCAGCATTCTGCAAAGAAGGCGGAAATTCCCTGGTGACCCACTTGACAAAGTAGCCGCACTGAAACGTGAGAAGGCACCAGGACCGGACGGTCTGTATCCAGCCCTCTTCAAAGAAGGCGGAAAATCCCTGGTGACCCACCTGACAAAGCCTATTGGTTCTACGTGGGACGAAGAGCAAGTGCCTGCAGAAAGGGGCATGTAGACAATTATCTCTATCTTCAAAAAGGGTACACGGACGCTATGCGAAAACCGTGGCATCGGTCTGTTAGCTGTGGCATCGAAGGTGCTTTCTGGCATTATCTTTCGAAGGTTGACTGAACACAGAGAGAGGCAGATCCGTGGAAACCAAGCTGGGTTCCGTCCTGCAAGAGGTTGCATCGATCATTTCTTCACCCTCCGACAGATTCTGGAACAGCGACACTGTTTCCAGCAACTATTTATGGTTGTTTTTCTTGATCTGAAAGCCGCCTTTGACTCTGTCTGTGGCCAAGCACTATGGCAGTGTCTGTGGAGCAAAGGTGTCCCCCATAAATTCTTGACCCTCATTAAGGCGTTGTACGCCAACTCCTGCGGCCGTGTAAAGGTCTACGGGAAGCTTTCTCCTGAGTTCACCACATCAAGTGGTGTCC